TAGTATGAATAGTAGATATAGGTTTTTGTAATCTGAAATAATAAAAATAACAAGATAACAAGTAGCAAAACTGGGCACAAACGGTATTGCAATGCTTGGAAACAAGGCCTAGGGTTCATACTTTCACTAGTGCAATCTCTCAACAATGAAAATATAATTGAATCATATAACAACCCCTCAATATGCGACAAAGAATCACTTCAAAGTTTTTATCAATAGCGGAGAACATAAGATGAAATTATAGTAGGTAGATAATCACGTCAAAGTTATCTTTCCGATCAATCTATATATTTAGCCATCCATCTAAGTGTCGCAAACATCCCTAAAGTTCGTACAATAATAACACCGTATGATACGCATCAATCAACTCTAATGTCACATATATACTCCAATGTCACCACAAGTATCCGTGAGTCGGTTATTCGATATGCATCAAACAATTTAAGATTCATAATATTTAATCCAACACAAAGAACTTCAAAAATTTCCCCAAAGTTTTTATCAAAGAAAGTAGGATGAAAACATGTATCAGCCTACGTACCTAGATTACCCCAATGTCACATCTGGAATCTGCAAGTTGATTACCGAAACATATATCAAGTGACTCAATAGAATAAATCATTGTCACCACGGGTATCCACATGCAAGACATACATCAAGTGATCTCAAATGCAATATTCATTCCGATAATAATGAAACCTCAAAGGACAAGACTCGTAGAGAGGAAAGAATACCATATGATCCAACTATATTAACAAAGCTCATGGTACATCAAGATCGTGGACTATCAAGATCAAGAGAGATAGAGGGGGGAGGAGACAAATAGAGAGAGAGAGAGAGAGAAAGAGAGAGATTAAACACATAGCTACTAGTACATACCCTCAGCCCCGAGGGTGAACTACTCCCTCCTCGTCATCGAGGTCGTCGGGATGATGAAGATGGCCTCCGGTGATGATTTTTCCCTCCGGCGGTGTGCCGAAAAAGGCCTCCAGAAGAGATCGCTTTGGAACAAAGGCTAGCGGTGGCAGCGTGGAAGTTCTAGATTTCTTTTTAGGAGTTTATGGATTTATAGGATTTTTTAGCGTTGGAATAATCACACCAATTGGAGTTACATGAGACCCATGAGCTCAGACGGCACTACCTACCCCCAGGGCGCACGGGGTGAGATTGTGACTCCCTCATGGTCTTCTGGTCCTTTCTCGAAGCGTCGGGTGTCTCTTATGTTCCCAAAAAAGTCACCGTAAATTTTTCGTGGCATTTGAACTTCGTCTGGTATGGATTTTCTGAAAATCAAAAATATGCATAAAACAACAATGTCACTGGGCATAGATTAATAGGTTAGTTCATGAAAATCATATAAAATGCACGAAAACCATATAAAATTATTGTAGGCATGGCATGAATACTTCATAAATTTTAGTTGGACAATTGTTGATGGTACAAGCGACTTCAACGATGAGCATGCGCACTTGGATGAAACCACTAGATCTCCGATCTGACTATGTCGATGTGCGCCTGCATCATACTCTTGCCGAACGGGATGGACGAAGGTTGACTTTGGGGATGACAGTCACGAGATCGACCTTGGGTCCGACTCGCCATCATCGGCGCACGTATGTCGATTCCTTCTTGAAGGCTTAGCCTAGAAGTTGTATACTTTTTGTTTATTTTTTTCTTGTATCATAGGGTTAGCGGATGTCCAGTGGAGTTACTGTCGCAAGGCATGGGGCCTCGGTTTTTTTTACTTTCCGGGTTAATGTTATGCAACTGTTGGATTTTAAATAATTAATAATAAATAGTTGTGAGCATCACTCGGCGGACAGGCCGGGGATTATCCTCAAATGCAACCTACGCTTGAGAAAACGTAACAGGGTGAAGAATATATGACATCTTGCTCTTTTCACTGAATTGGACTTGCATTTTTCTTATTTGATTGAGACTTTAGAAAATCTGACTCAGCTGAGATATAGATGTCCCATATTTTATAAAAGAGCACTTATCATCTTTAAATTGAAGACTCTGGGATTTTTTCATTGTTTTTCGCAAATGATATGCTCTTAAATTGCAGGCCCTGCAACCTTCTATGAGCTTTTTATGAGACAATAGAGGTATTCAATCTAGACCACCAATCAACCACAGGCAAGTTAGGGCATATATAATTCCAATTCCCAAAGTACTAGTAAAAAGTTTTATTGAAAAGTAATAATTAAAATTTAATTTTAAAAGCTCTACATTATACACTAAAAGTGTAATATGCTTCCATTTATACTACAAAAACCTTGTACTATCTTTTTGTGAAATTGTACTATGCACAATTTATAAAGAGATTTTTCCATGTTTCTTCTATCTCATTATAATTTTATCATGAGAACATTTACTCCAATCCTTTGACATGCACACTAATCTCACATCCTCGTCATAGAGATATTATACTTATGTTTTTAATAGTAAATATTTGTAACTATCACTAGTACCACATGGTCTGATATTTTCATGATACAAGTGATTTTATTTGAACAACAAAGTAATGTATAATGTTCTTATATAATCATAATTTTGGGGGTACATGTTCAAACTTGGAACCAAAAATTTGGCGGTGGATCAATGGTATGTTGTCTGTGCATAGATGCTAGTGATTTAGTAATCCACTTTTTTGATCATGTAAATACGCATTCCTTGTTGATTTATTCACTAATGCGCACATATAAATGTATAAGTTATCTCCACCATTGTAATATGGATACACTATAATTGATAGCGGATGCATAAAAATGAGGTTATGATCCAGTGGTAGAGCTAAGCAAAAGTTCCCATGCACAAAAGTCAAATCACGAGGAATTGGTGGGGCAAAAAACATTTTTTCTTT